CTGAGTCCGAATTTAATGAATTTGAGACGCGTCTTAATCCGCCAAAAACTGATTTCAATTGAGAGCCGTCTAAAATCTTGAAACAATAATTTAATTTAAGCCGCGGCTCAGATTCTTTAAATTCGGCTTCTGATCACACCACACAATTAATTACTGTCCCTCCTGTATATTGGACTATATTTAAAACAATAACATGAGTCCAAAAGTCGTCTTTCTATTTCATTTCTTGTTTTCACTGTATATAACTTAAAAAGATTTCAAAAAATCCCCAAAAAGAATTAAAGACATCACCAAATTAGTATCAATCATTCAAATCATGCGTTGAATACTTTATTTTTATGGTATATATAATACATATATATGTATTATATATATATATATTTCTGTATTCAACTTCATATTTTTTGTTTCTATAATTAGAGGCAAAAATTTTCTTTCGTTGAAAAAATTGTTGTTTTTTGTAATTAATGGTTATTCTTTTACCCAATTTATAAAAATTCATAAAATAATAAATTGAAGAAAACATATTTGTCATTTTATTATAATGTGTAATAATAAAAAGCTTTTGCCGAAGACCATTAAAACATCAAAAACCAACCTAAATTCAACAAGTGAAAATTTTTTCTCCTGAAAATATAAAATTTTAATTAAAACATGTTTTGTGAGGCAGTTTAATTTGTTTTGAAAGGTTTCGTACATGCATAAAGAAAACATATGAGCTACTGGTTAGAAGAAGCCCTACCATTTTGTTCAAAAACGAATTATAAAAATACAAAAAGAATTTTGAAAAAAAAACTGTTTTATACTAAATTATGAAAAGAATCTTAGCTTTTTTTATATCTTTAACATTCTACTCGAATTCTTTCACATTGATATACTCGATATACGTATATTTTTGTCCATATATCAGTGGCATCGTAAATTAATCATATTCAGCCATTTTGTTAAAGTAGATTGAATTGCCGTCCCTTTACCATTTTGTTCCGAATTCAAAAAGTTTGTTTTGATCATTTATAAAAATGTATTTAGTAAATATTTATCCACCTTATTTCATATTTAGTGCCGATTCCATTAAACTAATTTTTTATATATAGGATATACACTATACACAGGGCCTATTTAGGAATTAAAAAAATACAAATATAATGCCTGACATTAATCCTCCCCTGATGGTGAACTATGAATGACTGCATGAATTTATAAAGCCGGGCGCACCAAACCGCGCGGTCCTAAAACCACATTATGTCAAAATATTTTTTATTTATTTTCTAAAATTCTTATACTTATTTTCTATTTTTTGTTTCTTTGACAAATTTTTTTAAATCTACAAAAATAATTTACTCTACACCTCCCCCACCCTAGTTTTCCTCTCATGCACTGTTATAAAGTACATGTACATTTTGAACCCGCGATAATTCAATTCGAGGCCGGCGGCGGCTTGTATTAGCCCCTCTTGTTATACAATACAAACAGGTTACTATTTATTGCAAATAGGTTGACAACCTATTTGATTTATTGTTTATAAACTCCGATACAAATTGCACTTAAACGTATTTTACCTTGCTAATGCAAAAACATAGAAATAAGGGGAGAAATGTTATAAATTGTAGGGAGAAATGTTGAGAATTTTTTCACGAAATGTATAGGTGAAAAGTATTGAGAAATTTGTTAAGAAATGTAGGGGAGAAATGTTGAGAAAGTTTTAAAAACTTAGAGGAGAAACATTGAGAAATTTGTTATGAAATGTAGGAAGAAATGTTAAGAAAGTTATGAAATGTAGGAGAGAAATATTAAGAAAGTTATGAAATGTAGGGGAGAAATATTAAGAAAGTTATGAAATGAAGGGGAGAAATATTAATAAAGTTGTTTTTAAATGCAGGGAAGAAATGTTAAGAAATCTGTTGGCAATTGTAGAGGGGAGAAATATTAAAAATTTGTCAGAAAAACCAGCCTGTGTATATCTACCGTGTACATCAGTTATTTTACCCTGCTTTGGATTCCAGCTTTATCTGGAAACTAAAAAAGTCAACTCACAGAATACTTCTACCAAGTTCTTCAATCTAAATTTGAGGCAAATCGGCCCAAGGGTTTATGAGTAATGATCGGACTTCCAAACAAACAAAGATTACTACTTAGAATATAAAGATATATTAGTTCAAACCCCCGGTAAAATTACATTCACATTTTTGTTTACAAATTTAATTTAAGTTTGAGAAAGAAATAACAACGAAGTGGAGTTTTGTTTATATTTCTCTCTTTAACTGCAGTACACTTTATTTGTAAACAAAGCTATGGGCCTTCCTTGTTTATTAATTTGCTTGTAATGGATTTTGATACCATTGTTTTCTTATTTAATGCTTGAATTATTCTCATTCATTCACTTTCCATGTTCAACCCACAATATTCAAACCAAACATTCTTAAAGGGGGGCCGGGCTGTAGATTTAATTTCAACTGACCCCCCATTTTTAGAATGGTATGCACAATTCACAACAGCAACCTTTAAATGTTTTGTCGGAGCAAGGATGAATAATAAATCGGTTTTTAAACTTAACAGTATTTATGCTAATGTGACTTGCTGATTTATGCAGTAGAGCCAACAAAGTAAATTGTTAGAATTTAACATTTTTGAAATGCGAATATATTTTCCTCATAGATAGAGGTTTAATAAAGGGTACTGTTGTTAATCGGACATTCCCTTTCTAAAACTTAAGGGACAGTTAAAATTAAGTGTACAGTCTCTTTTTTAAATTTTGTAAAACGTTGTCACATCCCATCTTTGCCCTTGTGGGGGGATTCATATAAAAGGAAAAAAGGTTGATTTTAGTTTTTTTATATTTTAAATCATGCAGAGAACATGATGTGTTATTTCTCAAACCACAAACCTCATCAAATTATAAAAACGCTTGATTATAATTATACTTCAGTCAACTTGAATTAATCCAAATATATTTTAGAAACAATTTGTTGACTTTTTAAACATCACAGTTTTTTAACATAACATTAATCACACTGAAAATAAAAATATCGCCATTTTTTGTGTGATCTAATGTTCAACCACCCCTTTATACAGTACAAAGTACACAGTACACTTAATGCTAATATTGTATATGAAAGAAATAACTAAAAGCAAACACTTGTAAATATAATATTAGTCGAGTCGGTTTTTCTTACAATTNTTATTATAATCTTTTATCTTAAGCATTAATGTGCATGAAGGTACATGTCTGTTATAAAGAGGCGAAATTAAAATATTACAAGTATGCTTGAATTATTAATTTGATGCATCAGCCAATGTTAAAATTTGAAGAATAAATATATTTTACAGTATTACGATTAACTATAATTATACTTTACTTGTCTGTCTGCCTGTTTGTCTATCCGTTTGCACCCAACTTGGCTTTGAGGACGCTTCGCGCCCATCTTCTATTTCAATTGTGAACATGTTCTCTTTTTATAGTGTACAGAGCTGAAAACTTTAGAATGGTGGATATCAGGATTAAGGCTTAATCCACTCTTTTTCTTAATCTCCAGATTAAATATTGCTTGTTTACCTCGGGACGGGATATCTGGATATTTCATTCTAAAGTTTTCAGCTCTGTATACATTGTAAAATAAAAACAAATAAAAACTTCGTGGATTTTCAAAATATTAAGTTAACCATAAATCTTTCCTGAGGTCGCACAACAAATTTTATTTTAGGGGGGGGGTAAATAACCCCAATAACCCCCTTATCTACGCTACTGCAAACACCCATACGCCTAGACAAGCAAAGTATATATATAGATAAACGACAAAACGGCAGAACCGATTGAGTTCAAATTTTGTGTGGGACCTCACATGACCCCAGGGAAGGTTTATGGATGCTCAAAATTACCAAAACAGTTTTTGAATTTTTTTAAATTTTGAAAATGTGAGAAGATGCTCACACACAGAGTCACAATTAAAAGTTGTAGCGCGAAGCACCCTAAAAGCCTAGTAATCAATAATTAGCTATATTAAATATTAAAATGGAGTAAAAAAGCTTCCTTTACAATTCTTGTAACTGTCGTTTTAATTTTTAGTGACCCTCTATTTAAAAAGGGGCATGCCCGGTCCACAAACCCTTGAAACCTTAATCTGAACAATGCCTATCCACATTCCCTTAAAACCTTAATCTGAACAATGATGTGACAGATAAATTAGCTTTTCTAGAAAAATGCTACTCACTTTTGAGTTTTGTAGAGATATTATACAATTGAAAATAATTAGTTTTAAAATTTCAAAAAACATGAATGGCTAATTTTTACATGATCAGACAAAGGTATTTAGGGTACAGTTGTGAATAGGACATGCATATCAGTGCCACTTAAAATTAAGTTTACATGTTCCTTCAAGAGTGTCAAATAGCAAAATATAGTTTTAAAAAAATATTTAACGAATTTTTGAATAATATAGTTTTTAATACACATTTTGTCAAAAAATTAAGAACATTCATAATTTTGATTCATTGACATAACTTTTGATAAAATCATGGCTTTGAATTTAAAAATAAAAGAAATAAGACTCCCTACCTACAGAAGTAATGATAAAATTAATACAAAAATAGAATATGTGACGTATATGCAACACAAAATTTGTTCTTAAATGTTCAAAAAGAGCTATGACCAAAAACAATGTTGCCTACAGAACAGCAGAACGCAGCAAAAAAGTAGTTATACACAGTTTTATTGTCTTTTGAAATAAAAATGCCTGAAATTGTTCTTTAAAAAGTTCGGAGAGTAGGTGGTTATTTTATATATATATACCTGTCCCAAGGGGCGTTTAGTAACTTAACATCCCTCTGATGGGGAAGTTGAGGGAATCAATCATAGGTTGGTAACGTTGGTCAAAAGGCGGTAAAAGTCATAATTTGAGCCTTA